TCTTTCCTCCTTCTTCTTTCATTCTTCTTTCATACTTCTTCTCTCATTCTTCTTCTTTCATTCTTCTTCTCTCATTCTTCTTCTCTCATTCTTCTCTCATTCTTTTTCCATCATTCTTCTTCTCATTCTTCTTCTCTCATTCTTTTTCTTTCATTCTTCTCCCATTCTTCTTCTTCTCTCATTCTTTTTCTATCATTCTTCTTCTCTCATTCTTCTTCTTTCATTCCTCTTCTTTTTCTTTTTCTTCTCTCATCCTTTTTCTTCTTCATAACTTTTCTTCTCCGAGGCTCTTCTTCCTCCTCTTCCTCTTATCACACCACTTATCCACCACACAGTCCTGGAGTAACGCTGTTAAGGTCATCTCAGGTCACAAGGAATTTAAAGAAATGTTCCACCAAAGATTCTAAACGAACTCCTGCGGGACTACACCTGTACATCTATAACTAACCAAACCTACCCTAACCTAACCTACCCTAACCTAACCTACCCTAACCTACCCTACCCTAACCTAACCTAACCTACCCTAACCTAACCTACCCTACCCTACCCCCTAACCTAACCTACCTAACCTAACCTAACGTAACCTCCGACACGGTGACCTTATTGACCACAAAAGACTGCCCAGTGCCGGAGATTCGAACCAGCATGTGCCAGCCTGTACCAGCAGAATCAGTGACTCACGGTTCCTCAAGCAAAAAAAAATAAGGGGTTGGGGGGGTTGAATTAGGAGAGAGGAGAAGGAGGGAGAAGGGAAGGGGGAGGAGGAAGAGGAAGGGAGAGGAGGAAGGAGGAGAGGGAAGGGGAGAGGAGGGAAGGGGGAGAGGAGAAGGAAGGGGAGAGGAGGAAGAGGGGAAGGGGAGGAACACTAAGAATTTTTTCAATTAATTGCAGGAGTGACTGACGTAATTCAGGGAAACCAAGGACAGCAACCAGTCAGCGTCCCTCCTGTTACATCATCATGAACAATTGTGATACTTTAGGGAGGAGAGACATAGTGTAGTGTAGGCGTTGCCATCCCTCAGGGGGAAGAAGGAGGAGATACATTACCTTTTTGTAATTAGTTAAATTCCCGTGACCCCAAACACCTTAGGGTGGTATTGATGATGGTGTTTACTGTACACCAACCCTCCCTCTCTCCCTCACCTACACCCTCCCTCCCTCATGTACACCAACCCTCCCTCTCTCCCTCACCTACACCCTCCCTCCCTCATATTGTGCACCAACCCTCCCTCTCTCTCCTTCCCTCCCTCATGTACACCAACCCTCCCTCTCTCCCTCACCCTACACCCTCCCTCCCTCCTTCTTTTCCAACCTCCCTCTCTCCCTCATGCACCAACCTCCTCTCTCCCTCACCCTACACCTCCCCTCCCTCCCCTCCCTTGTACACTGCCTCCCTCCTCTTCTTCCCTCCCTCATGTACACCAGCCTCCTCTCTCCTCCTTGTACCAGCCACTCCCTCTCCTCACCTACACCCCTCCCTCCCTCCCTCATGTACACCAGCCCTCCCTCTGCTCTCTCCCTTCCCCTCCCTCATGTACACTAGCCTCCCTCTCCCCTCCTTACAACCCTCCCTCTCTCCCTCCCTCCCTCCTGTACACCAACCCTCCCTCTCTCCCTCACGTACACCCTCCCTCGCTCCCTCGTGTTCACCAGCCAGCATGTGTAGGTGAGTGGCCTGACCCAGCAACATGGAGTCCTTGACCTTGCAGCACTGCCCACCGCCCTGCACAGAGAAAGCGGATCTGGGGTGCTTAGGACAGGACGGCGCTCGATGGTGTTGCAACTTGCTAGTGTCTCTTGTTAATTAATCGAAACTTGCGGCATTTTAATGTTGCATTTAGTCCCCAAGAATGTTTAGGTGTACTGTGGTGAATGTTGGGGTGTACTGTGGTGAATGTTGGGGTGTACTGTGGTGAATGTTGGGGTGTACGGTGGTGAATGTTGGGGTGTACTGTGGTGAATGTTGGGGTGTACTGTGGTGAATGTTGGGGTGTACGGTGGTGAATGTTGGGGTGTACTGTGAATAATGTGTCCACACACACACACACACACACACACGAACTAGTTTTTACAAAGGCATATTATCATAGAGAGCTTGACCAGCATGTTGGCACTACCAGAATGATTGTGACACCTGAGTGCCAGTAAGTCTGGGTGGCACTGTGACCTGTACTGTACCTACCTGTGGCTATTACTTCTCAAATACGAAATGATATCACGTGGATACTAGCTGTTGTTCGCCTGGCCATCTGTTTACTATGACGTCATCCCCATGGCTATCAGCTGTTTCTTATGACGTCATTCTCCCGACTCTTTACTGTGATATCATTCACCTGGGAATCAGCTGACCACGCTCACCAAGGGTCATTCAGTATTATGGGAAAGCTTTTGGTATCCCCGATCAGGAGTCAACCCAGACAGGTGTTGCCCGCGGTAAGGCAGGAGAAGAGGCTTACCATTTGATGTAATAGATTTTTTTTTTAAGATTAATAAGTGTTATTATTATTATTGTTATTATTATTATTATTAGTATTGTATTCCTAGTATTAATGTTATCATTAAGTTTATATATATTTAGTGTTTTTTATTTATACATCATAAAACACACACACACACACATGAGGTTGTATATATGTGTTCTAAATGTCTATACTGTATACCTTGTTTCTAATGTACATATACCCTGTAGCGGGCAGGGGCTCCTCTCTGCTGAATCAATCGTCTGGTGTTAGCCAGAATAAAATACCTATGGGGTACTTATTCCTCTAAACGGTTAACGACTTAGTTGGAAATATATTGAGCCACATTGCGATACGAAGGTTTTTAGGAAGGCAGCAAGTCGAGATGATGTCGCAATCATGCAAAATGTCTGCACGAACTGTTCAAATGGTCCCAAGAACGGCAAATGCTTTTGAACATTACAGAATGTATGACTGCACATAGGATTCAACAACCGTAATCACAGCTGTTCTGTTGATAACACTTCCTTGTATTCTGTTACTAAGGAAAAGGATCTAGGCGTTGTGTTGGAACAGCACAACACGTGAAAACAGCAGTGAAAAAGACACCCGAGATTTGGGGATTATAAGTCGTATCTTCAAATATAAAATAGAAAAATGCTCCTAAAACTTTATAAGTATCTGGTTCGCTCCATCTGGGTTACTGAATAAAGACACAAAAACCTTCCCGCCAGAAAGGCTTACTAGCATCCCAAGAAAAGATACAACACAGTGGAACTTATCTCATCCTGAACTACTGTATATCATCTGAGGGTCGTAGGACAAACACCTCTTAAGACATGACACAATTAGGTAGATTTTTGAACGAGACGAAAACGTGAACCCAGGTCATTTTTCGTGATGTGAGGCGCTACCATCACAAGGGGACATAACTTCAAGCTCGCCATGATGTCCTGCAGGTCGAATAATAAGGAAATACTTCTTCACACAGAGGCCGATAGACCTATGGAACAGTGTACCAACTCAAGCTGTGTAATCGGGAGCAGTATTAAGCTTTAAAATAACAGACTGACCTCTTCCCCTCGGCTTGGCTACCTATAATGTGGTTGGCCATTGGGTAAATAGGGTCTTCGTTATCATTGAGTACGTGACTGTTTCGTGTATTCTCTGCTTTAAGAGAGTAAGTAAAAACTTGTTTACGTTTAGTGATCCTGGTCTGGCTTTAGAAAACAGTAATATTAACCCCTTTAGGAGATAAGATGTTCTAAATATTTCCTCTTGTTGACCTGTGTAATATACTCGTCACGGTCTGTTTATTTCATCTTGATAATGCTGATATCAAGTTATAAATATTATTGTTATCTTTCTCTTGATTATCCTTTATTAAGTTGCATTTATTATTTTATTGTATTGTTAATTTTTACTCGTAGTTTCTTGTGTTCGTGGTTCACTAAGTTTTAATTCTTTTGTTAATTACACCTAGAGGGCGGTAGAAGACAACACGATAATTATTATTTAACGAGTTTAAACCAACTTGTCGCTGTGCATTATGGAGGTGTGGAAACAAAATACTTGAACAGGGTCATATTTCCATTTGTGTTGACCTTCCACAAAATACGAGACAGGTACTGGGCAGAGCAAGATGTCAGAACCTTAAAATTGTCAGTTCACATTAATTTTTTCGTGTCAAGAATCACGTGTATGATAAGTAGTTAAAGCACAAGTTTAAATGGCATAATGTACTTAAAAAATAACGATGGCATATTATGACTAGAAGTCCGATTAGGCCCGAGACGTTGTCCACCCTAGTCACTCGGGGGCGAACACAGCGACTATAGGCAGGAGGACCCTATGGACTAGCGGATACAGTGGCAGGGGTACACAGCTATTTACAACGTACCCGATCACCACCTTTCGGAAAAGTTAGGCCAATTCTGCACCAGGCGTTAACTCTTCCTATAGATAAGGTGCCGCTCTGATAACAGTAGACATAATGGAACCTTGTATTATCAGCTTACGAGCCGTTCGGGAGATTGGTCTGTTCTTTGTAACTTTGCTCTGAACTTTATTGTCCAGTGTTAGTACATGAGGAAACCGGAATACCTAGAGAAAATCTCTGATGTTTGGTATTGGCAGGGGTAGTCACACTGGATAGTGGAAACCCTTCTCACGTGTGTCCCGGACTGGGACTCGAACCCATGACTAACCATTGTTAGTACCATCCTTTCGTGTAATTATCGCCAGAAGCTGTCAGTAAATTTTTAAAATGCTTATTTTATTAAAATAAGTGACAATATGAAGTTTATACACAATAAACATAATTATTTGTAGGTTTGTATCTCTCATCATTTATTTATTAACAGCTTATGAAAGTGTTTGTTATGGTCAAAATTTTAATTGATGGAATAATTTAGTGTAATAAAAGTAATGAAAAAAGGTAAGTGAAAAGAAGATATTGCTGTTTTAAGTATATATGTTGCATTTCGATAATTTACTTGTAAAGGCGATAGTAAAATAATTATTTATATAAGCCGTAGTTAAGAAGTACACTCGGTCAGCCCGTGTTATGTTGTACAGAAGACACGTGTGAGTGTTTACCAACACCTGAGCTACACCAAGAAGGAGAAATACTAGCCCATCACCATGAAGTGTAAATGCCTAGTGGTAGACACGGCAGCGTTTGTGAAGAATGTGTCATTGTGGGTAAGTGCTTACAGTATGAGCTAATTTGGGTAAAATTGCAGATTACGGCAACCTAAGAATCTGACCCCCCCCCCCCAAAATGTATTTCTGATGGTCTTTGATGCGATTGGTTCAATTCTGACATTCGTTTTGGTAAAGGTGTAGAAGACGGTGACCACCAGAAGGAATGGTCCGCATTGGTTGAAATTTTTCTACACACTAATATGATATTAAACACAAAAATGGAAACGACAATGCATAGAACCTAATAGAACCTGACTTAACATAACCAACCTATGGGTTTGTTAGGTCTTGTTCTATTAGGTTCTATGCATTATGTGTTAAACAACTTACCTTAATATCAGCAATGGCGAGGAGGAATAAGTGGAAGCGTTCACCGTCATTTAGGAAACGTCTCGTGAAGAGGGATTCAGCGAGGTAAACAACAAAAATGACGCCGGGAGGATAATTGTGAAGCGGGATAGAGTAAATAAAAAGATTGTCAGGTTCTATTAGGTTCTATACATTGTCGTCTCCATTTCTGTGTTTAATATGTTGTTATTAGCATTATATAAAAAGTTAATACAAAATAATGCATAGAACCTAATAAAACCTGACCTAACATACCCAATCTATGGGTATGTTAGGTCAGGTTCTATTTGGGTCTATGCATTGTCGTTTCCATGTTTGTGTTTAATATCATGATATTAAAGTGTAGAAAAAATTTAAACCAATTCGGACAATTCCTTCTAGTGGTCACCTTCTACACCTTTATATCCGTTTTTATCGGAAATCACTCCTTCTAAATTTAGGCCCCCCCCCCATAATAGTTCTATCGATTGCGTGTTCTGAATTCCCGGTACTCTGTGTTTGCTAACTTATTCCATATACCGGTAACCAAACTAAACCTTACCTGAGCCCCGGACCCACGGTGACCCTAGCCGGCTTTGCCCCGGACCCCCAAACGGTATGATATGACCCCAGAGTCGTGTGGTCAGCCTCCACGAGAATGTAAATAGCCGTTACAGTATTTCTTACCTTACTCCGAGTCAGGGTCAGAGTCTGAGTCGGGGACTAGAATACGTCGTGGGTTCCTCTGTTCTAAAGTTTCCTTATTTTTAAAATGAAACAATACAATAAACTTCCAATAATCGAAATCGTACCCAGCACACAATGGCTCCATGTTGCAACTGATTAAAAATTTCCTGCATCCTACCACCCACGCTGAATATTGAACACTAATTGGTTAAATCTAATGTTGAGATTATTTATTGGATTTGATTGGCCGCCCTAACACCCCCATCCCTAAGCATAGGGCCAACAGGTGCTCTGATTATGTTTTTAAAATTCATTAACTTCCTTATTATCAATTTGCGAAAGAAATGTAATATAAGAAAGTAATAATAGAAAAAAATTTCTATCGATTGAGTGCAATGAATTTCCGGAATTCTGTGGTTGCTGTAAGCTGCAGTATTACCCTAATTTTAAGAAGACCTTTTGGATTTATATTATACGCTGTGGATATTTGTCCGGTTGTTGGTTAGTTTTCTTTTTAACTAACACCAGAAGGAGTTGATATAATTGGACTATTATCGTTTCGGTCATCCAGCGAATTTTAGGATTGAAAGTAATCACCATCCGAGAGAGGATTAGATTACGTTGAAATTATGTTTTTCCGATGGTTTTTGGTGTGTTTTGAATGATTCCGACCTACTTCCAAATAGGTGGATGACCGAAACGATAATTTTACCGATGAAACTTTGTGGAAACTCTAATTACAATCTATTAATAGATAAATTGGCCTCTCCGTTTATTTCCATCTATGTCTTCGATCTTGGTCCCTGATGTGGTGACTGTCTTGAAGGTGGAATGCTGTAGGTAGTCTGTAATGAGAGAAGTGAAGGGGGAGTTAGGTATTACTGTGTATCTGTGCTTTGTGTCGTGTCCTTGTGTCATGTTAGGTACTCTGTTGGTGTGTTTGGTCTTGTTCCGTAACTATATCAATAATCCTGTTGGGTAACCTAGTTTTTCGAAGGCTTTGAAGATGCGTGCCAGCTCGTCCTCCAGATATTCTGTGTCACATATTCTGTCAGCCTGCAGGAGTAATTCTATGACCATGCCTGTCTTTGTTTTCATACTGTGGGCTGGCAGGTACAGTAGTGGATGAAGTCGTCTTTATTGGTAGGCTTGTGATATACCTTGTATTTGGGTCCCTCATTAGTTCTTATTACGATTGTGTCTATGAAGGGGAGCTGGCCATCTGTCTCTTCCTCCATGGTGAACTGGATCTTAGGTTGGATCTCGTTGAGTCTCCTCTCGGTGTTTTCCAGGTCCATTCTCCCAGTTGTGATCATTGATGTATCGTAACCATGTTGATCTAGTACCCACGAAGTTCTTATAGTAGTTCGTCTCCATGAATAGTCAGGCCATTATTGCACTCAGGGGGACCTCATTGTGAGTATGCAATGTTGGGTGTATTCTTCCCCTTCGAAGGCGAACGAGTCAAAGTTTACTCACAACGAGACCAGTTGTGTGTTTCCTTCACTACCACTACAATCTGTCCACTCTGAACAATGTTCATTTTACCTTTGTTTTGTCATTTTGTACAGGAGTATGGAGAAGAACTATATAGCCTGCCAGAGGTTATTGAGGAGATCCGTGACAAGCAAACAAAAGAACGCCTGGAAGCTATGCCCGTAGCTATCACCATGAGACAACCTAAGCCACAATCACTGAAGTTTGGTAAGATTTAGGATTTTTAGTTTTCTTGGTACTGTATTACAATTCTTGGCATGTATTAACCCTTCTCTACAGGACACCACTTTTATTATTTTAATTGGCTGATGCCAAACAGTTGTATTCAGCACAGTGAGATTCCCTGTACACAAGTTGTTAATTAGGTAAATTTAACCGCTTTAACTAGCTTAATACAACATTTACTGTAGAGTTTAAAAAAAATGACAGCTACATAACTGAATATTATTATAGAAGGCATTGGAAAAAAAGGGATTTGGCCTTATTTAAAATCACCTTATGGGTTGTTGACAGCTGATAAGTATTGTATAAGTTTATAAATGAAACTGTGGATAAAAACATCCATACTAAACCTGGCCAACCTAACCTAAGTCAAGGTAATAATCTTATGTTATTATCTGGTTAGGTCAAGCTGAGTTACATTAAAAATGGTGTCTCATGACTAAAGCATTTGTCATTCTCTTTCATGATATTCAACCCTGTTTTTGCCCAACAATTTGTGATAAATAAGAGAGTCGTCCTTTTTACTCTACAGTTAATGAATTCTCCAAGAAGACTGGGGATTATGCCAGCCTCTCATTACCAGACATGAAGGTGTTAGCCCTAACATATGAACTGGAGGTTGAAACCCGAGGAGGAGCTGAACACCTTCGGACAGAGCCTCAGAAAATCATCACTGAGGGAGCTGCCAAGAAGGGCACTAACACTGCCCCACCCACTACTGAGGGCTTCTACCTCCCAAAAGCACAGGTAATAGATTGTTATAGGTCAAATAAGATGATGTTGAAGGGATAGTTTAATTGCTTCACTTGTGTGTGTATGTGTATCTTTCCTTGTAAACAAAACCTTTTAATAATGGGTTTACAAGTTTTATGAAACTTGGAAGGTGGGTTGTGAGGTGGCTGGAGAACAACTAGTTTATTTGAACAAATATTATGCGTAGGTTGAGCATTATCAGTATTACAGTTAACATATTGTTGTGTGAAGCAAGAGAGATAAACCAAATACAGTACTGTAGATGCTTGGGGCCTTGCTCTGTAAGGGAATACTGTACCTGTACTGTACATTGGGTGATGAAGGGAGGGTCTGTATTTCTCTTGATTGTGGCTGCTCTGGTTTATAATGGGAAAACACTTGAAAAGGTGAAATTAAATTTATTGTATCTCAGTAAGTATACCAGAGTAGATCTAGCAATGAAAAAAATCACATTAAGGTAACAATAGTATGATCTATATATACATTTTTTAGTTCAATTGCAAAGAAGTTTTTGCCGAGTTCATCATAAACAAATATAATTATTAATCTTTAAATTATGCCTAACCCCCTCGACAGTGTGAAGAATGTGCGTCTGCCTCCTCTGGCATCTCATCCAGGTCATCATCACCAGATGACACAAACTTTGAAAATGGTCTCTCAGAGTTGTTACCTTCAGATCCTTCATTACCCAACTTTAATGTGTCTTCTTCCCAAGTGCCAAACATCTGTTGGCAGCATTTGGTGTTAATAAATAGCTTCCTGGAGGAACACAGTTACATAAGTGGTCATGTCCCTACGGGTAAAGACTTCATGTTCCATACTGCCCTTACAAGGACATACCCTCAGTTTTGTTCCATTGAAGCTATCGCCAATTGCAAAAGTTCTGAAGACATAAAAACGGTACATGAAAACAAGGTTTGCCCCTTTCTCTCCACCTTTCCCTGTATTAGAAGATGGGCATTACATGCTTCATCTTTCACTGAAGAAGAAAGAACACTATATCCTTGTTCCAGTCTCTCCCTAGAGGAGCTTCTTCATGACTTTGAAGAAATAGGACAGCAAATGGTAAATTCTAGTGGACATTAGTGCTTGAAATGATGTAACATCACATCCTTTTAGTGAAAGTTATGGAATGCTTTGATTCCTTTGTGTGCCAACATTGACAACATTGTGCAGTCTTTAAACACAGGTTTTAGTTTGACAACATTGTGCAGTCTTTAAACACATGTGTTTGTGGTTAGTTTTAGTTATGACTGCCATTAGCTTAAATAGTGAAGCTTATGCTGTACTGATTATGTCTTTGTTATTTACTTTCTCTTAATGTAGTTTGAAAGTATAGTGAATGGTGTTTGATTTACTGTATTTTCCAAGAAAACAATTCCTTCCAATAATTTTTATTTTATTTTTTAATTTGAGTGAATTTTGCATGCTTATTTTCGATATGCATGCAATGTGTATGTTAAACATAACATTTTGGTGTTTCCCCAAATCTTTGTCTGTTTTAGTTTATAGATCTTAGAAAGGCTAGTTTAGTATGGAGGACTTTACTGTACCACATATGAAATTTATTTTGGACTTTAATAAGAGTAAGTCTCTATTGGATCACTTCTGACTCCCGTTACCAGAAATGCTTATTCATTTACTGTATGAAAGGTGTTGCAGGTGATGAAGAGATGAACTTGTCAATTGCATATTCCATTGCTTTGGTAGGAGTTAATAAGCATGGAGTGTTATTCTTAATAAAGCTCCTTCCCCCTCCCCCCCCCATTTTATTTTTTGACTCATTCTTTGTAGCTAATGTTTCCATAATACTGTAGTGTATTAAATATCCCAGAATTGAAGGTTTGATGTGGAGTTTCACCTATGAGCATACAGTTGATATGCTTGAACTGGAAGAAATAAAGTCTAGAGAGTGTTACAGTTAATGGCTGCCATATTTCACACATTAAAATTCGGTAAAGTATAAGAACAGTGTATTAGAGTTCATCTTGATGTTCATATGTTTGATATACGAGACAATTAATTCTGTAATTTTCATCATCTGTGGTCAGTAATCTTTTTTTGGCCCCAGGGTGTATCAGGTTGATGTAAAGTTACATAGGGGACTTTGTTGCCTCTTCATGCCTTTGTTGATATTCACGGTTTTTAGGTTGATACACTGGCTTAGTGTCTTGGTTAACTCTGGCTGTTTGTGTGGCTTTGTAAGTATAAGTGATGATGTGGCGTGATTAATTTGAGGTCTAATCATTACTAACCTACAGGAGGAGGAAAAGCCGGTACAGCCAGACCAGGAGGGTGAGGAGGAGCCTCCACATTCTGATGCCCCAGCAGAACCAGCACCTGTGGATGTAAGCTCTCTTTCTCTCTCACAACAATCTGAAACAGCTGATCACACTGAGGAAGGTGAAAGCCATCCAAAAGAGCTGATTGACACTCATCTTGCTGAAGAGGATGGTGATGATGGTAGGAAAGTTGATGAATTGATAACTTTGGCTTAACCCCATCACTACACGGACGCCACTTTTAATATTTTACTTGGTTAATGCCGGACAATTTTATTCAGCTCAGAGGCGACACCGTACACAAGGGGTTAATTGAGAGTTAACAATTCCGAGAATGTCCTCCTTTGACAATATTGAGTAATTAATATTCAGTAGTGGAAAGGAAAATTATTTTCCAAAGATCATAACTGTATTCAATGTAATATATGGTAAATGTGAAACTTTGAATTTTGTTAGAAGTAGAATTCTATGGTATGTCTTGCATCATGACCCATACAGAGGAGAGTGATGTAGATGATGACAATGCTTCAGAAGATGAGAGTGATGATGATGGGTGGATAACTCCTTCAAACTTAAAGAAACACAGACTTAAAAACAACCCATTCCAATATGCATGTGAAGAGGAACCAGAGGAAGATGTCCAGGTTGCTTGCATGACGGCAGACTTTGCGGTCCAGGTTAGTTGTCATCACAAACTTTTATAGTTTAGGTCCTCATGGCAACTTATAATAACAGTATTGAAGGAGTTTGACTATATTTGAGAGATATAATGTCAAAATTATGATTAATGTGTATTTATTTATCACTATGTTAACATGTCATTTTTCCACAATTGCATGGGCTAGTGGCAGCTCTCCATGCTGCATAGTTTCTTGCAGTCTCTCTTCCCCTCCACATTTTGACTCAAATCTTTTGACACCATTGATCTCAATTCATTCTCTCCATATGCCCAAATCATCTCATATCTCAGTCTACATCTACACAAAACTTTGCCAGTACTTTCATTACCCAGCTGCTCTCTTGGCTCTGAACGGGGTTTTCTATCATCAGTGTCACATTTCAGATTTCATGTCCGCTTTATTATTCTCATTTAAATCACTTAAGCATGTGTATGTTGTCCTCTTTACCTGCTCATAATTTTCCACCGTTGAACATCATACTACTTACGGGCATAAGATTTTTATTTTTTTTGCTTTGTCATTCTTTGGAATGCAGAATTTTTAATGCAAACTATAAATGTCCTTTTCAGAATGTACTGAAGCACATTGGATTATCAGTAATGGGTGTTGATGGTTTGCTGATAAAACATTTAAAAACATTTATCCTGAGGTGCCATGCCTGCTTCAAAACTACTTCTATCATGACAAAGGTACAGATGTGAACCTGTGTTTGTTGTATGAAAGATCTTAGAATATTACAGCTTTATATTATTCAGGCCACACCTGTTCTTTATTAAACATTTAATTATGCCCCACCAACAGAAGTCAAGGAGGATGTGTTTGACTCTATCCTTCATCCATTCCATCATTGAAACATTTTCACCAGACTTAACAAGTCAGGATATTTGATAGTTAATTTCTATAGATACAGCTGCATTGCAATAATTGTTTTTCCAATTAGAGGTTTATTGTGAATATATTACATAAAGACATTACCTCTTTTTCCTCTCTCTCTCTTTTGCCAACACATTTTGTTCAGTCAACATCCGCAGAATGGCTGGATGTAATCAGCTTAAACTGACAGGATAGCTTCACCAGCTACATAGTTTGAGATTTTTATTTATTTTATTTATATATTTATTTTTTACGGGATTAACCCACCAGGGCACAGGTCAATGACCCACTTCAGGCCTGGGGGCAAAAATTAAATAGTAATAATTATAATAATAAAGGCCCATAAATAAATACAAAATTTAAAACAATAAATAAAGATCATTAGTGAGAAATGATATATACAGTAAGTTGTGTTGTCAAAGTAAGAGAAATAATTGAGACCCTGCAATTGTGTGTAAATGAGGCAGAAAGTCAGATCAGCAACCTGGGACTTGGTCACAATTATTTTGATGCCATATGGCAGCAGGGTCTACCATTAGACAATACATTATGCTTCCAATATCTTCCCGGCGGTTTGTAAAAAAAATTGCATAAGTTTCATAAATGTGTCCTGCTATAAATTAAGTAAATAAATCAGTGAAATGTGTATCACTCAATATACTATGGCTGTTCACAGATCTTCTGTCCTAACTGTGGCAACAAGACCTTGAAGAAAGTGTCTGTGACGTTGAACCCTGACGGCTCACAGAAAATATGGATCAACACAAAGAAACAAATAAACATAAGAGGCATGAAGGTAACTGGAGAGATTCGTGTGATGTTGTCATAACACTTAGCTTACTGTTTGTGTCAGAGGTACAGAAATTGTCCCTACAGTATTAGTAATTTATTACATCCCAAGTTTTTATTTATTTAATGCTGTCATGCAGGTTTCAGTTTGTTTGTATGTCTCAGATTGTTAATGTTATAATGCTTACATACAGTAGTGTCTTTTGAATAAACTTTGTATTTAAATTAATCACAATAACATCTCAGATGACTTCTACTTTTATATCAGACTATTATAAGATGATGAAAGGAGTGGTATGAGCTTGGTATAACCTGTGGGTAGAAGAGACTAGAGTGCATATCCTCTACTGTGTATTCTCTATCAGTTTATAGACAGCACAACATAATGAGAATAGAATATGATAATGTTGGAAGCGACACTGTTGACTGATGTAGCAATGTTTAGGTATGTAAAGTGAAGATTTAGTCTACATATCTTAGTTCAAAATACAGTAAATGGCTTATATTATTCAAGATAGACAAAGTATTAGTATTTTAATACCTGTTTTGCTTTGGCAGTACTCATTGCCAACTCCTAAAGGTGGTAAGCATGGGAGGAACCCCATATTGGTGGAAGATCAACGAGAGGCAAAGAGATTCTCCAGTAAGATGAGCCGTAAGAAAATTAATCCCCTCCATGAAGACTTTGATCCACGTATGTATATTCATTGAACTTCTTGCAAAATTATTCTAGTGTGATGGCATGAGTGAAACTGCTGTGCCTGAGTGGGACATAAGAAATGGGTGGCAGTGATGTGTCTTGTGCTTGTGTTCTGTAACTCAAACAAATGAACTTTAACCATGTTTGGAATGTAATTAGTTACCAAGTTAGTTTGGTGTTTGGCAAATATGTCTTTTTCTTTTTGGTCTAGGTAATGGCCCATTGGACTATGTTGCCTACTTTAATGGGAAACTCTTATTTGTTGTGAAGTTTAGGCTTGGTCTTGTTGCCATCAGAGTCAAATATGTGTAACGTCCCCTAGAATTTCAGATTTTTAATAACGCATAAGCCCACTTCTAGTCTATTGTGTAGACTTGAATTGCTACTTCGAACATAAGTAGATGAAGCAAAAGATAGGATTTTGAGTTGGTACATTAAACTTTGGAGAATGTGTGTGAGGATAAATGAGAAGAAGGATGTATGTACTGAAGTGAGCGAAGTTGGCTTTGATAAAATGAACACTAAAAATAAGGTGGAAAGTTAGTAGAGTGTAGGGGATTCTGTGGGTGAAAGGATTGTCATAAAAACCAAACTGGATCACAGATATTCAGACATAGAGTTTGGATGATCCCTAACCTGTGTGTGATGTTAGGTCAGTGTTGCTCCAAGTTGACTCATAAATGCTCATGAGGAGGCTATATTGTGTGCATGGTCAAAATAGATTAACGCATTAGTTTCATGTAGCAATATTGGTCACTTTTGGGTATAGTAGGAATTTTTGAGGTTTAATCTAACAGACGAAATTTTGGGCAATAAATTGATAAATATCTGTCATGTGTGCATTAACTGATTACAAAATATAAATTATGTATTCTTATGTTGTTCTTGAATATATGTTCTACGTCTCCCCCGTCATTTAGACTTCATCTTTTCCCAGGGATATGTTATATACTGTACATTTTTTTCAATGACTCGATAATGCATTTTATTTTTATTTTATTTTTTTCAGATCATATACCGTTTGCAGTACATGATGTATATTCCCGTGCTGCTCAGTTGGGCTACATTGCTGGCAAGAACCATTATCATCACTACTGGGAAAAGAGGAACCCTAATGAGCCAAAAAGAACAACTGGCAAGAAGAAAAAGAATCCTGCTTAATAAAGATGTTACTTTTAAATGAGTATATAATTTTCATAGTGTGTTATTATCTTCTAGGTTACGGATTGAGGTACAGGTCTTCCTTGTTTTACGAATGTTTGCTATCCTAAAATTCGCTTATCGAAAAACTTTATTCTTACACCTCTTTTTCACTATCCGAAAGCAATCCTTACTTAACTGAAAGATGGTCTTGATTGAAAATTCAAGTCAGCCCACCCCTCCTCACTCCGTAGAGAGCCCTGACTGTTTTAATAAGGTAATGTATCAACTGTACAGTATATTTTATTTAGTTTAGCGGTTACTGTACAGTAGTTAGGTACAGTACATAATTACAGTACTGTAGTTAAGTAGGTATTTTTTTGTGAACGGATTTCATATTTTTAGGTACAGCATCTCCTCTATTTACGAATTTTCATACAGACGAGCAAACCTGTCCGTATATCCAAATTTCTGTTTGGTGCGAAAGCGCAAGAGTCGTTAGTTCTTACTCGCAATAGATGGCGTTATTGCACTACTCCCAGGATTCCGGCCAAGCAGCAACCATTTTAGTTGTTGCTGTCTCGTGCACAACGGCAGTGATAGTTCAATTCTTTTGGCTTTTACGAACATTATTGACCCCAATATGTCCGAGAGATGAGAGTGCAAGGAAGAAAAGTCACAAGATTACGATGGAAACGAAAGTGGAAAGAGGTGATAAGATGACAAATGTGGCTCTTGTTTTCAGGCTGATTTGTTTGACTGTTGGTATGATTTTAAAGGACCAAGAAAGAATTATGGAGCATGTGAGATGTGCTGTGCCTACAGTATGTAATCAACCATCTTAAGTAAGAAAAGAGGAAAATTGTATGATGAGATGGAAAAAACTTCTGTGTTTCTGGCTGGAGGACCAAAATCAACATTGTATGATGGATTACTGTACTGTGGGTGTGCTGTACATAAAGTATTTTTCATATTTAATACATTGTTTACATTTGGACTTACGAACAGACCTCCAAAACCAATTATATTCACAAGTAGGGGACTGCCTACAATATTTGGGGTTTTTGTGTTGTTGGGGAACCGAACCATGTTTTTTCCATTTGTTCTTTTGTTTGCTCTGTATCTGAATGGGTTTGAAGCAGCATAACCCCATTTTCATAATGAGGGATATTGTAGTGGATACTCTCCCCTACAACTGCTGATTGGTCACTTGCCGTCCGCTTCCCAGCCAATCAGCGGCGAGTTCCACAAATCAGCCCTCGCATTCGAACTGCGTAGTGATTGGTCAGTTGCCGCCTTCATATCAGCCAATCGGCAGCGTTTCTCATCATTGCACTTCGACTTTTGATCCGGCAGAAAGATATAAATACCCCCCTGCCTTACTGTGAGGGCAGACAACACCACGCTCTTAAGCATAGAAGACCTCCTCTAAAGAAGCTCCTCCACAGCAACTCTACTATGCAGCAACTTCCCAGCACCTGGCTACTCTGTACATATAATATATCTATAAAGAAAATGCCATTGTGAGTTTCCTTTCTCACCTCCATCCTTGGTGCGAGATCTCCTACATGTCCGTATGTATGTATGTATGTGAGCCTAACAAAGAGAAATTAGACTACTGGCCACACGATCTTATTCTGCTTAGGTTGTTTAAAACTATATTATCCCACACATATAACAGATTTATTAAAGAAATATTTAATTGTAATGCAGTACAGGGTACTCCACTGATTATAAAATTAAACATAAATATAAACTATAATTAACTTTAGTGTATCACTTAACATATGAACACACCTGATATATTAGGAACTCTTCCCAAACACATTATAAATGGCAAAAGTACATTTCAACATATGTATTCTGATCTTAAACCACTTTTTAATATTAACAGTAATGAAGATAAAAACAAAAAACAAAATTGATGACCAGGTTGGAAACTTAGAGGTCAATAAGTTGTGAGAATGAAGAGGTTAGTCTGAAAGACATTAAAATGTTGGTTATTAGTTACATCCCACTGTACATCTAAAGGTTCATTAAAGTTTACATGAGTCTGTCTCAACATACAAAGTTAACAAAAGAAGGTAACACTTCTAGCTTCAAGGCCATTCTAATTCTGTTTAACAATAAATCTGATCGGAAATATTTGGCCAGTATTATTTTCTTGGAGAGGACACTAACAACCCTGGGACTGTTCTTCATGTTTTGACAATTGTCTCCCTATTATTCTTGGGTATGTCCTGAAGTGATTCATGGTATATCAGACTGTTATTGAAGGGTAGGCTGGTTTACTTAAGTTTTGGTTAGGTTAGGTTTTCTTTTTATTTGGGTTGGGTTAGGTTGGGTTTTCTTTGTGTGTGTGTTAAGTATCATCCAAATGATTAATATTTTGATAGCATAAGGATATTTTCTGTCATAGGAAGTGGTCATAACTTTATGGCAATAAGGTTAAAACGTCAATGATTCTCTCAAGCTCAAATTTGTTAGTGTTCTGATATCATAATATAATCTTCTGTCTAAAATGTTATTGTCAATCACACCTAAAGGTATACAGTACAGTACAGTATAAGGTCTTAACATCTATATTTTTATTTCATCACAAAATTAAAAGGCCTCAATTTTGTGTGGCTCGTGTTACCCTCAAGGTACAGTAGCTCTTGGTGTCTCCGTTTATTTCTAGTTTTCTCTTCATTCTTTTTGCTATTACAATATTACAAATGTTACACTTTATTCAGTTAATATATTGACTACAATTAGGCATGAATATTAAATAAAATAAATAAACAGATCTACTGTGTTAAATCTTCCACTCTTGAAAACCTCCTTAGTGCTCACTACACCAACATGAGGAAATAACTTTGTGCTGAAGAGATTTCAAACAGTATGTGGGGACGGTAGTGGTAGTGTACAAGACGGGGGTAATGAGGTGGTCCCCATCTTGATTATAATCTCCAAGTATATTTTTTAGGCATGATTAAGCTCAAGCAAACATTGGTCTTACAGTCTTAATTTATATCTCCATACTGTATCGTCACTTTGCTTTGAATTTTGATGAGAGGCTGGAGAGTCGTGCTCTTGTGAAATCCTGCTTACTACTGTATCTGCTAAGCAAGTGTAGTTTCTTGGGTTTAGATTTTGTCAGAGATATATTAACAAGACTTGAGAATCTCACACAATATATTAAAATAAAATGCACAAATTAAAGTTGGGGTTGCAAAAATATTTATCATAACACGATGTAGTTAAACCATTCCAAGTTATCAACTATGTACTCAAATTAATGTAACTGAATGCATCATATTTTCTCTATTATGGAAGCCTTACTTACTGATAAATATCACAGTCAGAATTGAAGTGACTACAAAAACAGGACAGGTGGTAGTTAAATAATTACTGTACTAAATTTCAAACTGCTTGAGTAACTTTTTGTTATGGAAAAATGGAAACAAATGCCACTATGATCTTCTGGGACACAGCTCAGAGGAGTTATCCCTAATACATACCCATATAACTGAACATAACTAAAGACGATAAATAACTTCATAAAAAAATACTGTACTACAAGTGAGGAAATTTGAGAGAGTACACAATGTGTGTACGACCTACAGCCTTCCATTAGTAGTTTTTTTGTACGCTTCACTGTTCTAAAAGTCTGATCTTTTATTTTTTATATACAGTACTGTGTTGACACATTTTCTGAGTATTTGTTAGGCTTTGTAGCCCTTGGAATGAAAATCTCATGTACAGTCTCGTTCAAGGTTCTTCAAACACTGCTGGAGACAGCTGGCAACTCAAGGGCGTACGTAGTAAAAAATATGAATAAATGTAAAAGTGATTACAATAGTTACTTAGTCCCCGTTGCTTAATTTAATGGTAGGGCTTTGTTGTTTCGTATTATATTATACTACGTACTATAGTAAACAAACGGCCTCGAGTTGCCAGCTGTTTCCAGCAGTGTTCGAAGAGTCTTGAACGAAAATGTACCTCAATAAAGTAAAGCCATCAGTATGGCTGATCCCTCTGACTGAGACCAAAAGTAATTTAGAGTTCCTCAACTGCTTATAGTAACTTTGCTGGCAGTGTGCCCAACAGGACTTTAGTCTTCATGCAGAAATCATCTACAGACTGATCTTGAGTATACCCACCAATTCTATGCACCAAGAGGTCTCTTCTGGTTGTGGTAGTCATACAATTATATTATTGTATAGTTTTTAAAACGATATAATGTCTTTGGTAATTAAGGATTCACTAGTAGTCATGTTGGAAACTTATCACAATGAGGCTGGATTGATCAACTTCCTGAGCTGAAATACATTTTATCGTATCAATCTTTCCTTTAAAATCCTACATTAGCTAATTAAAAGATATTTATGTCCCATTCAAATTTTTTTAAAGACTAACTGAAAGCAAACAATCAGAGTTCTGTCTTTGCTGCATGTGCATCATCTTCTTCCTCTGTGTTACCTTGTGGCTGACTCTGAGGGGTGGGGTTATCATCCTCGTCTTCCTCTATGCTGTCTTCATCTGATAAAGAAAGAGGGAAAATTGTTAGTTATCTTCAGGAGCTTCTTAAATTTTTACCCCTTCTGCAGTTTTACCTGACGGGGTAAAAATAAAGGGTTCTGTTGTCTTTCTAAGTTTGTCAAGAGCTTTTGTGGTTGATAGTTTGATAAGTGAAGAATTCCTATAGTATACAATTTGTTCAAACGTGACAGTCAGGAGAGCATTTGAGGAAAAAAAGTATATCGTAATAAAGATTTTCACCCACTTATGTAAGCAAGTTGGTCTTCATATTTAAAATTGTGGAAATGGTGTCCTGGTGAAATATTGTGTGCGTGGGGGGGGTGGGGGGTGGGAATCTATATCTTCTTGTTTTGTTTGCAAGAGGATGCATATGGAATACGTACACATTTAACTGCTATAATAAGTATTTTCAGCACTTAGTGAAGGACTTCATATTCTCTACTTTTTATGTGCCCTTCTGGAGAGTATAATGGTATGGTACCGTACTGTCTTCATGCTAGCTTTTGTACTGTACAG